TTTCCAAATCTATTATAACTGCCTCTATTTAGAATAAAATAGAAAAAAATTATCAAAGTGTTTTTCAATGACTATTACATATATTTTAATTAATTGATTGATTAATTAATTAATTAATTGTTTTCTTATATAAGAAATAGGTTTTTCCTCAAGCCATATTGGATATTGTCTTAAAATTTTGATATTATATTTATAGACTATTAAGGATTAACACTACAATCGTAGACCAGCGTTGATCAACCTTATTCAAATTGTTAATAACATTTGCAAGAATTTAGAGTTAATAGAATGAATTGGAAAAGGAATAAGTATTTAGCCATTGTCTATAACATTAAAATATTGAATATAGATCCCAAAATACAGTACAACATGGCTGTCTAAAGCATAACCTACGGGCCTCATGCGGTCCGAGACATGTTTCTAATCTATCACAATTACATATACATTTTTTTTTGTTATATTTGGGTAACTTCATATTATTTCAATAATTAAATGTTTTAAATTATTAGACTTGAGAGAATACAGCTTAAAATTAAATTGCAATAAAACCAAATACATGGTGGTATGTCAACGACCTATTTCTGAAGGAAGACTGACAGTATTTAGTTTAGCAATAAAAAGAAACGATAAGTCCAACTACTTGAAATGCCACCTTGATGAGCAATGGGAAAACATTAAAGAAATATGGGTCCGAATTGAAAAAGCAAGATGAAAATCTTGTTGTGTTCCCAGGAGCTATCATTACCGCTCAGAATAAGAATGCTGCGATGTTATATATTCTCTATACTCCTCTATGGGACAGAGGCCTGACCCTTATCTGCTGTATCGATGAATACAAGAATTATAAAGAGACAGAAATACTAGCAATAGTAAAACGATGAAAGTTGAAGTTTTTCGGTCATATTCTGAGGCAATCGAAAAAGTACGGACTACTGAAATTAGTCATTGAAGAGAGAATTCAAGGTAGACGTAGCCCTGGAAGACGGAAGATATCATAGCTGAAGAATATACATCAATTGTTCAATAAAAGTACAATATCAATTTTTCGAGATGTTGTAGATAAAGTCAAAATCGCAATCATGTTAGCTAACTTTCAAAGTGGGCAAGGCAGCTAGAAGAAGAAAACACTTCTCGTTAATTGATAAAGACTTTGATATATACTTCTTTGTACAATTGGTTCAAAAAAATCATATCTCATGCCGTAAATTATTACATTAAAAATAAAATATTTTTCGAATGACAATAACTAATATTTATAATGTTGATAGAATTGTGAAACATGGATTAATGAAGAATTAATAAAACTAAATTTAACATGATCGCTATAATTTAATTTTTCTCCGACAAAAATATGAACGTATGTATTTATTTCTGAAACCCTCCAACCTATTCAGTGATTTGAATTGGCTTACTAACTTATGTTATTTGGTCTGGACAGCCCTGCAGTACAATATAGTATATTTGAAAAGTTGGCGATCTACGAGTTGGTATGAAGTTATAGTAGCGATGACTATGTAATTATTTTCAAAAATTTTTCAAAATAAATAATTATTTACAAAATTAACAAAAACCTCTTTATCTTGAAAGAAATTTGGAATTGTTTTTTTCTTAAAATAAATCTATACGGTTCCAGTACTTTTTTGAAATAAAAGGCAACTAATTCGACTACTCTCTTTATAACTTTAAAATTTTGAATATTCTAGTATACCATCCATATTCTTTCCATTTGCCATTAATTCTGCTTGTGTTAATATTTGTTTTCTCCTCTTCACAATTGGTTCCTTGGCTATAGCAGAGCAATTGGTCTGCTTAACAAAAGTACGGGTGAAATATTGTATATTAAAATAAGCCATTAGCATTTTCTTAATAAGCATAAAATTTATGGCACAATCGCTCTTCTCTCCAATTTCAAAATTCAAATTTATGCAAATAATTTAATGACTGCCTTTTGATAATTTTGAATTACACTTTAGGAGTACAGGAATTAAATATTTGCTTTGACTTAGATTTTTATGACCTCTAAGTTGGCTTACAAATAATTTGCCTTCCATGAACCAATTTTCTTCAAACAAAAAAAAAATTTATTTTCCTGCTCAATTTCTTGAGATTTTATCTTCCTTCACAGTTGTAAATACAAAATAAAACTGAATAGCATGGAGAAGACTAGAGTATAGTCGAGCAGAGTAGAGTGGAATGGAGTTGAGTGTAGCAAAGCAGAATTTATTTCAATTTAACTGCTTTATTTAGCCGAGTATCGCTTCAAAGGCAAATAATAGTAGAGGGAACTCGAAATTCATACAAAGTGAGGTTATGTGCGAGTCTGGCTGTCTATTCAGCAGTCCATTTTTCCTTTCAACTGCCACTCCAACTCTGGGTTAACATGCATTTTTGGTTGACAAGTCATTTTTTTCTGTGGTTTCTGTTGGTTTAACCGAGTTAAGTGTGTCTTTTCTTACTTTTCAATTTTCAATTTTCCAC